CAACATGTGACTCAATCATGACAAAATCAGTTTTAAAAAGTGGCAAATATATATGAAGAAAACCCTTCCTTTACATCTTTATAAGCGTAATAATTTTGAAAAGCGATCATAGGATTTCTTGCATTGCTTCAAATACGACAAAGCAATAAGCAGGACAAAGAATGTTCAAATACAAAATATTTGAATCTATAACGCGGTTAAAAACAAACATTTGGTTTGAAAGGAGTCGGTGAGCTTAGGCGTAGATAAATACAATCATTGCAACTATTTCAATTAAATATTTGTATATGAAAATCCCTTTCACAAACGAGTCGTCTATAGATATACACTTACACACAAAAAAGTCGTAGCAAAAGCTAATGTCTTATCACTTTTCTTTGGTATGTTCTGAGACTCCATATGGATACATAAATAATACTCCAGGTTGTTATCATTTAATTTGATTTAATTCATTTACCAGATTTCCAGTTTCAAATGAAAGCTGGGGTTAGAAAAGTTACCTTCTTCATGAAACAGGAGACAATAGTCTGATGCAAAATCACACATTTGTCGGCGCCATGTTGTCTCTCCATAGGGAGTTAACTCTCCCGATGGATATTCCATGCCATAAGCTGTATCATCGAAGACAACGTCATCATCAAATGACATGATATCTTCGGTTTCTTGTGACATGACACCCCCACCGTTTTATTCTATTTTTATAGTACCTGCAACATTATATATAAAGGGTGAGTGAGTGAGCTGGTTTAACGTCGCTTCTATAGTGAGTGAGGTAAACTTTAACGTCACATCGGCAATATTGTAGCCATATCGTGACGAGGCGCTTCTATAACAGTATTCCACCAGAGACGGTTGTACCCCATAACCCCTACATGCCATTACCCCTACACCCCAGTACCCCTACAATTAGTTAAAACAACACACGGCATTTACCTGTCTGGCATAATGGACTGACCCAAGGAGAGATTAGTGCATAGAGTATACAGATGAGATCAAGGGAGGGATTAGTGCATAGAGCATACAGATGAGATCAAGGGAGGGATTAAGCTGTTGTTTAGTGTTTTGTGTCAAGGAAATTTGGGATCAGCTAAAAGTTGATTAGTTTCATGATGAAAGATAAACCTCTAGTGAGTAGAACAATTTTACAAATTGGATAGTGTTTTGTGTCAAGGAAATTTTGGATCAGCTAAAAGTTGATTAGTTTCATGATGAAAGATAAACCTCTAGTGAGTAGAACAATTTTACAAATTGGATAGTGTTTTGTGTCAAGGAAATTTGGGATCAGCTAAAAGTTGATTAGTTTCATGATGAAAGATAAACCATCTAGTACAATAAAACTGTGGAAATCCCTAAGTTCGGAAATTCAAAATATTGTAGAACAATTTTAACAAATTGGATAGTGTTTGAAGTCGAAAATGCTGTCATTATTTCTTTACATGCAATAAATACACGGAATTAAGACAAAAATCATATTTCTATTTAAAGGACCAACAGGGTACTATGGGTATCATAATCTATTCTAAGATGTACATTCGTTAATGTGAAATTAATCATGATGACAACTTATTCCTTATTAAAATCTTGATGATGACAAATGATATCACATTAAAATCATACTTATAGCTGTCTCTTAAGACGATAATGTACACTTAACAGTTAAACATAGTGGCATGTAGGGGTACGTCATTCAAGATGTAATGCCATTTTATCTAATGTCACTTCTGCCCCCTCGTAATCGAACAATTTTGCATTGCGTCACAATGTAAGCGACGTCACGATGCATGTCAGTTGTCATCGCCTCGTACAGCCTCCTACAGTAAACTACTCCGTCGCATCCCGTTTCTTGGTTGGCAGTTGCTTCACTCAGCTAACATTACTGGTGGAAAGATTACGTTTATGTTTTGCGACGTTTAAAATGTGTCAATTCGACTCACAAGTTTTCAGCGACACGGTAATGTTCGCAATGTTTACATTCCCACAATGCAATCGTGGAATGTCGCTTGACTACTCAGCTTCATTTGGATGTAATGATCTATTCTTACGTTGATAGTAGAAATGCGACGTTCATATTGCCCCATATGGTTTACGTTGATCACAGATGTAATTAAAATAATTTAGAGAAGATGTTTAATCCGAACGTAAACCGTCATCAAACTGTTTATCATTTGGTTTTTCTGGTAACGTTCGTCTTAACGTAGGGGGGCAGACACATCAATAGAACAGCGCGCCAGTTAGCCCTGTGCGAGGATTCTTAATTTAGGTCACCGACACCGTCGTTTGTTTTCTGCCTTAGATTAATCGTAATTATCCTTAGAAAGTATTAAATTTGGCATCTTAGAAAAGAAATACAGTTCGCTCTACCACCATGTAAAGTGTAATAAAGCACACTTTCGCCCTGAACTATTATAGTTAAAGTACGAGGACGCTTGCGTCAGAGTGCTTTAATATAATAGTTACATGGTCTCTGATTTCACTTATACCACGGCGTGTCAGCTAAATGGCGGTGGATGAGGAAAACCCACAGGGATGTAATCGCAGATCCTCACCACTTTAGTGAAAACAATGAGCAAGGAAGTAGCACTGTCCTTTAAAACATAAGGGCAGCAAATCGAAATTCGAAACCACGATGGTTTTCTGGCGTGTCCACGTGACAACCTCTTCCCAGCTACGACTGATCGAGATGACACTGCCTGCTCTCCGACGTTCCGGAAACCTAGCAGTATCAAGGGTGTTAGTGAAGAATAGTAAGCACAGAATGAGAAAATCTTCAGATTATATACATTTCAGATGGTAAACTGTCTACTCTTGCAGCTATACTGCGTTTTAGTAGTACTGTTTCTTTGATTTTCTCATTTGGATAATTCCATTTAGCAAATCTGTAAGAGTTCAGTCATCATAATTGTCTTTACATAGGTAACGTTACACGCTTACAGCTGGTTCGCTGTTTGTATCGCAAGGCAATGGAAATTCAAAAGAACCTTCCCAAACGATGTAATTGGGGTCATGGGGAACCTATTTGAAACTGTTTCTATAGTATATATTTCACGCTTCCACATTTATTTCCTCTGTTGTTGATTTCATAAAATCAAAGGTATGAAATGCACCTTCTTCTCCGTAACAGAATGCATAGGAAGAGGTTGCCCCCGGTGACGAGCCCACGAAATGACATCACAGATTAACTCTATGGGTGCGAAAACAAACCAGGGGTCTGATGACATAGGAATGGGATGATTTTACAATTGTTTTACATTTATTCCCAGGGTTGAGGTTAGTATTGCCGCTAGAGACTGACGCCGTCCAGTACTACACATCAAGGAACGCTGTAAACATTATTGAAGTACCAACAAGCCATATATTTTGATGACCCACATTACTAGACAAGTCCAAAGCAAAGGACCGCATAACTAATACTAGTATTCTCTTCAAGCAAACCGAAGGCGGAGATGTTGATTTATTGGTTTTAGTGAGGGGTGGCAATAAAGTACCTACATGTGTTCATTTTCGGAGAACATATCTTTCTCTATGCAACACAGACCGGTCAGGTGACCTTGGCAAAGTAGGTCAACAGGCCCAGATTGAGATGAGAACACTACAGCAATGGCGGCATCAGCGCGTAGCCTCAGCTGTACTGGGCATCCATGCGGCCTTGTGTGCAAGTTTGCTGATGGAGATTATTACTTATCAATCAAAACTGCATGGCTATCCAGCTGTCGTTTTACACGTTTATGGAGAGCTGAAATTAGATTTATAAATTAAAACATAACTTCACGAAATGCACGGGTGGTTCTTTAATGTCCCCCTCGGACAATCAATACAACGACATTGCAGTCCCTATTTGTACATCATACACTCAGTTAAGACAACGTCTAGGAGCCCTAGCAAGTCTAGATTGGTTTATCTGCATTAAGACGTATCACGCACCAGATGAATGTTTCCTCACTGGCAGCTATAAATAACTAAGGAACGCTTACATAAAACCGGGACGGAGGGGAGGTTGAGGGTCTGCAGTCCTGTTTTTCACGCTATGCAAATATGTCAATCTGAAAGTTTTATTTCAACTACAAATAAACCGATGAGTAAATCGGATTAAGAATACTGGTTGGCATGGCAACGTATCAAGCAGCAGAAAAGTCGCGATGACCTTGGAATCAGACGATGGCACGTGGTAAACCTGGAGGCTTGTGGAACGATACTCGCACAAATTTGTCACTTGTTCGTCTGATTGATACCAGTGTCACGTTTTAACAGCACAGATAAATCCCAATGTTATGTAAATGTTGTACGGAACACTGAACGTGAGCTAATTCCGGTCGATAAACTTGTAGTGAGGAATCATTTTACTCATATTCAAATCAGTTGCAAACGAATGATTTATGGGAATGGTGATAAAGAAATTGAGTAGCGTCAATTAACTGTACGGGGGCTGGTTGAACCCACTCCGACTAATGCTAGCTATGACCTTGTGTGTAAAGTGTGCATCTCACCTTGACAGCTTTCCCAACTAAACCAGTCCAATCCAGTTCGGTCGCAATGGTCGCCATTTTGCACCTCGTGTTCATATAAACAACCAAATGATATACTGTTAAAGAGATAGTTTATTAAATATACTTGTCAGTTGTTTTGATATGCGATTGTTTAAATAACACAATAGTGTACCCAAACATAAACACCGAACCTTGTATATTTGGTTAGAAGCATACAGACGCCATTCCCTCTACCTAACACAAACTGACTCTGTGTGACAAACGAATATACACAAATAACAAATAAGCAAACGATATCACCATGTACAATTACAGTGAAGCCCCGTTAGTCCGGACTCCGATAATCCGGATGTCTCGCCTCCCGGACGATTTCAGCTTGTTACCAATCTATGCCAATATAATTTGCCTCGATAATCCGGAAATTCGGTTTCCGGAACCGGACGGTAAGTAGCTGTCACCAATCAGTAAAATAAACAGTAAATTGCTTCACAGTCCGGACGCTGTAAGTCGTATTTGTAGCGAAAGGTGTTTTACAGGTAGAATGTAAATTCAAGCTGGCTCATCAACAGTTCTAGTCAAATGTCTGGGGGGTTTTAACCAAAATTACGGATAATTCTATATTATCTATTACATGAAAACAATTATTAATATGTCGCTAATAGAGAACATGAAAAATGTTTTTATGATTCATACATATACTATAAAAGTTCACCAATGGATAACAGTACAAGGATGACGATATGGCAACAATATAACTACCATAGGTACAGAAGTTTTAACAAATACTGAAAATATTTGAAAATTTAATATTGTGGACAAACACCAAATGTTGAAATGAATCTACACGAACAACATAACGTATAAAATATGAATGGTTAAATAACACTAGCCATGTCCTATTCAGTATAAACACGGGTATTTCTAGAATTACCCCGTATTGTTTCAGGTGGGCCTGCTTTATATTATGTATGTATATCAATCTGTGTGTGGATTCAGATACATTCGAATCTGCTCATACTGATATCCAGAAATGAAAGACAATGGTGAATACAGGACAAAATATAGTTGTATCAAGGGAACAAAATGGCGGATACGAAACTAAGGCTGGCATACACACACAGTACTGCTATCTGCAAACTAAATATTGTAAACAACTATGTTGCAAATACCACAAACTCCCAAAATAGCTGTTCGATTGCAAGAAGTAATATTATTTGGCTAAACAACAATATAATAAAAACATTTAGAGATGTAAATGCAAGCTAATAATAGTGACAATCAATAATGACGTCACTCTTGTTGTTGTGGAAGAATGCAAACCTTTAAACTGAACCATGTCAGTGTTGATTGTTATAAAATCATCTCTTGAACAAGGGTGTACATAATTACAACGCATATTGTCAAATGACTAAAAAGATTATAAAGTTAACTTCTCAATATAATTTCGTTTCACTGAGGTGTTACCAGATGACTATTTTTCGAATTTACGCATTTTCCATTTTCTTTTTAAATGAATTACAATTATTTATTCATAACACTGATACTTACCTGAAATCTTAATTATTTTAGTATATTAAATCCGAATAGAAATGCGTTGTTCAAACATGAAAGCGCCTGGTGCTAAAAATAGATCACCGCGCGGTGCATTCTGGGACGTAGTATAAAAGGCAACTCTCCCGCCGGCAGCTTCACAGTCTATGGTGGACAGCCGTACAGAGAACTTCTTCAATTGACAATAGTAGAAATACAGGAATGCTTGCTGTTGAGTCTGGGGTTTGGGCCGCCTTTCTCAACCAGTCGGATCTAGATCTGACAACTTACATCAATCCACAGACGGACTGCGAGGTACGTATTTCCAATTATTCCATGAAAAAATCACTTTTCTTCGGTCTGTTGTTTGGACTCCCAAACACGGAGTCAGATTGGAATTTCGCGACAATTTCGGACAGCGTTGATGTACGCGATTGTTTGACATATGGTAACGGAACGCGTAGCGAAATGCGACAACTATTATTTCAGCAAAGCTTTGATTCTCAACAAGCTCAGAAAAACCGACTTAGTGAGCCTCGTACTACAAGACTCGTCAGTAACTCTTTGCCCGCCTCGAACTGCAGCTCGCCGTAAAAGTTTCTCGGTTATGGAACCTCTGCTTTTATACGCGTACTGCTCAGTCGGTGACGTCACACAGGGCTCAGGACCAATCGGACTGTTCTGTTGGTGATCACATGACCTTGCCAAGCGTAGACACGTGGGCTCTTTGGTCACGTGGTACAGAATCACGAGTGATATTACCGTATAACGTACTAGGGTTGTTCTATATTTGTTTGGAAAGAAGCCAAGTCTGATTTTCTGTCAGATTTCTGCTTTCATAAGTTGCACAGGCTCTGTTGGATTTCTAATAAATGTCAGCATCGCACTCTCAGTGGAATACGATGTTAGCAAATCACGTATGGATTATATGTGCCGTTTACTGATATATTTAATCACAATAACATCCACGTTTATAAAAGATGTTTTTTTCAAAAACAATATATCTCGTCCCCATTTTCTAATATGTTCACGCCCTAACTTTTGATGATTATCTTCATCGTTGGAATTTTACTTGTATTTCTTTAATTGTTCTGCCTTGTGAATGGTTGATTACTTATTCCGCAGATTACTTTTGAGTATTGGACATTTTGTTTCTGTTTCCAGAACACCCTGTTCCCAAAGACTCTGATCGATGAACCATACCAGGACTTATCTGTCGATGCTGTAGATGATCTGCTCCGATCACTAGCGGGGGACAACGCCTCGACCCCACCCCCAAGTGAAAGCGATGTTCTCTTGCCAGAGGAACCGTCGACTATAATCCCCACCTCTGTGTTTGATTCCACCCCTCCATCCACCCCGAAACCTCAAGATGAGTCTAAGGAGGAAAACCTTGTGCCCCGTCACAAGAGACCCGCCCATAAACGGGCAGAGGTGAAACGGCGCGGGAAGATAAAGGTATTTGTCTTGATCTGGCAAAGATTGTTAAGTGGGGACCTTCCAATCAGTTAGGGTGGGTGGAGGTTACTATGACGCATTTTGTATGTTTTTTTTTTGTTTTTTTTCCTGAGGGATCTTGGTTCATCATACCATGCTTAATGTCCTAATAGAAAAATAGCTTCGACGAATATATGAACGTATATATGACAGACAGAGTTTATTTTGTAATGTCGGCCTAATGGCCCATAATACAGTTACATAATATAAGGTACAGATGGACAGTGGTCATTCTCATTAACTACATGGTAGCTTTATACCTGCAAGAGAGTATTTGGTGTATAAATAAAGCAGTAATGTATATAATACGTGGAATTTTAGAGCATAAAATATTATGGAGTGAGAGTGGGCCCTTGCATACATTTCCAAGTTGGATGAGATATTTTTCGCGGAAGTGTTGGTACTGTTTACAAGAAAAGAAAATGTTTTTCGTCAAATAGGACTGATCTTTTGATAGCGTAGTTGTACCTTGTATCTGTATAGACCTTCGGTAAATGTATTTTCGTGTTACTCCCTATAAACGATTTAAATGTTCACTTGTTTCACTGTTTGTATATTTTAATGGCAATATGTAAGAGATACACCGACGGCAGTTGTACCCGTCTGTATTTGTTCAAGTAAGCCGTTTGTAATGCCTACACAATCGGTTAGTTTACCTATTTCGTCTATTAAGCTATATTTAGGAACATCTGGAAAAAAATATCTTAATATTTGCTTCAATCTAATTACTTTGATGCTGCCCGTTTAATCATTTCCAATATTTGGAAGGAAAGCTTTGTTGATAATGTAAGAGAAAGAAGGCAGTACGAGTTGCCTCCCTTGTTTAGCATTTTGCCATTTTCTTATTTGTGCAGACCAACTTAGATGACCTCCGTGACCTGCTCCCTCCAATCCACAATCAACGGAAAAGCGAGTCACTAATTCTTTCAAGAGGTAAGTTTGATTTTCTTATTCCTCCCGTTAACCCCAAGCCAAGTGACATATAATTGTATCCTACTGGCAGACTAGGGCGAATTGTGCTTAACAAGTAGTTAGCCAGTGTGTTCGGTTGAGTATTCTGACGCCTCTCCCACTCTTGTAGCGGCCGACCATTGTCGCCAGTTGAAGGCCGAGAGAGCTCGTGTCGAGGAGGAGAAGTCGAAACTTCGCGCTGAGATAACCGCCTTGACAGCCGAGATTGAGTAAGTGGCATCATGCATGTCCGTAACCATGACGTTCTGTTTCAGGGACCAGTCGCTAGACTGGTTACTTGCTTTTGACGATTAAAGGGAAGCTCTCTATTCCGTCAAGGGCAGGTAGCCACGTCTATCGAACATGACAAAGGTGAGTGATGTTTTAGAACAGTGAAACGAAATTGCAGTTCTGAAGACAAATTAGTAAAAAAATAATTGAGTATTCAAAAGATTTTCAACTCTATAGTTACATGGGTTTTTTATCTAAAATATTATTAAGGGTCGTTTCATGAAAAAGCATCTCTATTTGGTTGGTAAACATTATGATGTTAGTACAGCAGTGTTAGGATGCATTTGTATACATCTTGTTATTCTTGATGTCAAGTTGTACATGCTAGTGATGTTCTTCTCTTCTGTGTTACAGCTCGTTCCAAAAGGACCTTCCGGCGATGGGTCTGAAGGCTGATGGTTGTATCGTCAAGACAAAGTCAATGGATAACATGTATAAGGAATACATTGAGGATCGCACGAGGGGAAACTGGAAATTCTGGATTGTATCCTTCACAAACGAAATGCACTTATACTTGATGAAAATATATTGGCTTAAATGTTTATGTTAGATCATTTGCGAATTCCTTCATTTTACTATTTTTGTATATTTTTCTTTGTTCATACTCTGTTTTCACATATTTACTTGTTCTAATCCTCTAAGGAATTTTGTTAATCGTAGAAAGAGTGAGTTTAGTTTTACGCCGCACTCGGCAATATTCGTAGAAAGATCTTGTATTGGTAACGAATCATGTTTTTCAAGCAGAAAATTATATTTTGAAGGATTTCTTTCCTTAACCCTACTTAGTTCAGTTTCATGATGCGACCATTGTTTGAGACTTATACTACCGGTGTGTCCACCTCAACCATTGAATCCTTTCTGTCATCGGTCCGTCAATGGACAGATGACACCCTCGGACTCGCCAATCTCAGATCTGGTAGGTACACATTCTCTTTTCGTTTATTTTTTTTTAATAAACTAAACAAATTTGTATTCTTCCATCACCTCCCTATTCTGATTCTGGCTATTGTGCGTATGTAACATCGGTTCCGGGATTAAACATATTTTCTATTTAGAAGTTGCACTTTTTGATGTAACCGGTAATGGCGAAAAGCGATTGCATTGATATATTGTGCAATTCAGATAATATTTACGTACAATTTAATGTTTGTTTTTATTTTATTTCAGTGATAACACGTGGTGTTCTACGTGTCAGCAAAGAAACTAGCATACTCACAAAACCAGGGTCGCTCCAACAGGAAGCTGCACAATCAACTGAGAGCTCCATTTCATAGTATCATTCTTCCTCGAGACACTTCTCGAGAACTGTAAATACTAATTTGTAAATATGTAATTGTATCCTAAGGACTTCGAGAGGCAGCAAATACTCAAGTCATATTCTCACCACATCACCCATCATTTTCTCATACAGAATCACAATTTTGCATTTAAAAACCGAGAATCTTGCCGTATCGCATGCTGTATATTATGTCTTGTCACACTAATAGGCTAACCATCTTGTCACCTAGCCTGGTAAAGACAATCCGGTTTTAGAGTTAGTTATGCAAATGAATAAGTTATCTGGATTTTACTTTTTCGTTTCTGAAGCAAAACTTGTTAATTTTGAGAAGCGTTTTTTTTTCAATGGCCATATTATAAGGGTAAACGTCCAGGCAAATTCTCAAATGAACTTTTGTACATTTTTTAGATGCGGATACATGTCATGGCATGTTATCCTGATTACATAGATAGATTGTGGCAGTAGATTCCATCATCTGTTTTTGGATGTTAAGTATAAACCAATAGTTACATCTCGAGGAGCTTGGAAATGTCTATGAAGCACACGTATTGGTATATTATCAATTTGTGTATGAACTGTAAATACTCAAGTCTCGTGGATATTCAGAGTCAAGAAACTATATTGTCTTTAATCCCAAATAAATATTCTTTCTATTCAAAGATTTAAAATATATTTTTCAGATTTTATCAGTTTGGACTTAAACTAGTGATCGTATATTTTCATTTACAAGAAGCCATTTTAATGAAGAAATTGTATTTTACTCGTTAGAGGATTGTTTACATAGCAAAGAATATTTTTATAGTCCCATGACAAGACCGTTAGAGACATGCCTGTTAATATTTTCTGAAAGAGATATCATGAAGTGATACAAATATCAGAACACTGCTCAACTTGGCTGGTTGATGAGCATTGTACCGTTACAAGGACGAGCTTTAATGTTGTGTTGTCTGTCTGATGTACAGTGTTGATGTGTATTACTAGTCTGTTTGTCTGAATAAAGACAAGTATTCAAATAAAGAAGATGTTTCGTTTTCATTAGATTATAAGATTTCTTCCCGAAGTCGTTAAGGTAGCATTTGGAAATTATGTAGGACGGTGACATGTAAATTACTTACAGGGCACGAAATGCCCAATGCTAGAACCTATCTGGGGAAACTGGCGGGATTATATAACTCAATATAATGGCTGATTTACTGACGCCGTACTCTGGTCGCGAGACTGTCTACATGGTGTAGTGGGTGGTGTGTCATCTGTATCTCAGCGGTTCGATCCCCGGCCGCTTGTACTGACTGACTGCCTGAGTTTGGTTTTACGCCTCTTTTAGCAATATTCCAGCAACATCACGGCGGGACACCAGAAATGGGCTTCACACAATGTGCCCATGTGGGGATTCGGGTCTTCGGCGTGACGAGCCAACGCTTTAACCATTAGGCTAACCCTAAAACAAACACACACACACACACGCGCACACGCACACACACACACACACACACACACACACACACACACACACACACACACACACACACACACACACACACCACCACCGGGCCGCTTGTAACGGTGGAACTTGATGTACTCTGCCTGCCGCTGGACATACAGGGTATACCACAGGACTGGTCGAACCCGGGCCTTTCCGGGCTACCCTACCGCCCCTGAAGCATGGACAGAAAGATATTTGAGTCGTGTAAAAACTGCTTAAGGTTTCGACTGAAGCATATCAATGAAAGTATTTAGGCGAATGTTTCTATTTAAGAAATACAGTTCGCTCTACCACCATGTATAGTGTAATAAAGCACACTTTCGCCCTGAACTATTATAGTTAAAGTACGAGGACGCTTTTACCAGAAAAAAACACAAATGAGAACAGTTTGATGACGGTTTACGTTCGTATTAAATATCTTCTCTGAATTATTTTAATTACTTCTGGCATTAACGTAAACCATATTGGGCAATATGAACGTCGCTTTTCTACTACCAACGTAAGTTTAGATCAGTACATCCAAATGAAGCTGAGTAGTCAAGCGACATTCCACGATTGCATTGTGGGAATGTAAACATTGCGAACGTTACCGTGTCGCTGAAAACTTGTGAGTCGAATTGAGACATTTTAAACGTCGTTAAACATAAACGTAATGTTTCGACCAGTGAAGTTAGCTGCGTGAAGCAACTGCAAACCAAGAAACGGGATGCAACAGAGTAGTTTACTGTAGGAGGCCGTACGAGGCGATGACAACTGACATGCATCGTGACGTCGCTTACATTGTGACGTAATGTAAAATTGTTCGATTACGAGGGGGCACACTAAAATGGCGCAGTGACGGGATAACGTCATTTAATTGTTACGTCATCAAAAAACTATACTGACTACCCAAAAGAAACTATAAATAAGGTGTATGACAACTAATCTGCAGCTTTGGAACCATTACTTTCTAGAAACTGGAACCAAATCTCCCTGTTTATCTCACATTCCAACCCAACATATGATTTGTCAGTTATATTGTTCAGTATCTCTCATATGTTTAAGTAGTCTTTATCCATCATCAGCCCGAGCATCACAAACCAAGGGACACAACTGATAATATTAATGAAAATGATTTATATATGGTATGCACACATATTTAAAGGAATTGTCTTGTTCATTGCATAATTTTGTGTCGTTTTATAGACAAAAGAATGATGCATATTGATCGGCCAGGTGCGCGTTTGTTGGAAACGTTTTATGATTCTCTATCATTGTTTTCGATAATATAATCAATTCATATTCGATTAAATAATATTGTGATGACAGGATATCAAACTCTAACTACATTTATAGGAAAATTGTTGAAAAATATATATACCATTTCATGTGTTAATTCGGACAAATCTTACATCCATATTCTAATATATAGTTCCATATATAAAAAGCTATCTTTTTTGCATCTTTCATTGCATACGTATGAAGAGAAATAGCTACATAATCATAAACAAACAAAATTCTTATCCCAAACAAAATATTCGGGTGTTTTGAAATATTATTTTTATTTACGTTAAGTTGATGCCAAACAGGTGCGCGTGTTGTTCACAATAAGATACGCTATCAAACCGTCTAATTGTTGATATATTCAGGACACTAATTAAATGGAAAAAGCAGTCATTTTATGTTTTGTCTAAAGAGTGTTAAATTCTGACGTAAAAGCCGAGACCTTTTATACAATTAATGGACATTAGGGGATATATATACTAATCAGCATACCAATGTCGTCTTTTTCCGACGTCGCAAAATGCATAAAACAAGCAATGACGTCAACTAAAATGTTGTATCATTTTCAGCAATTTCATTACATTTGAAGATATGGCTAGTATTCTGGTAATAACGATGCAAAATTAGTCAAATTACATCTACACAAACAGGAGAATATCGGAATCTAAGAACTAACTTATATATCGGATAGGGCCATCGAAATCGCTATTAGGTGCTTTCACATGTAATACGTCGTCATTTGTCTTGTAAATTGTGAAACTACCAAACTGCATCCGCTCACATTGGGGAACTTTGAATTGGAATAGTTTGGTTCACCATGAACATAAAATAACGACAATATAGCGTCCGTATCTACAACAAATTCTCTCCAAGTGATCTGAGTTACATTGACCTAGTGTTACGCATAACGGAGTTATGCCCCCTTATCATTATACGTGTATGACCTCTCTGTCGTCGTTTGACGTCATAGAAGAAAATTCATTTTTGACATGCGAGTCATTTTTAATGTTGAGCGTATAACGTTATGCACAAGCACATAAACCCAATTCATATACACTTATGTCGTTCATATATCAGGCTGTATTTTCTTCGCTCACACTTTCCGTAAAGATGCCACATTAAAAAAATCGTAGCACAGTGCTTTTATCGGTGCGCGATAAAAAGCGGATAAATTTACTGTTTTTTAACGCATAACAAACTTTGGACAACATTTAGCAGTGTCTATTTCTCAAACCGCCAAGATAGTTGCACTTATATTTATACCAACGGATAGGAAATTTAATATTCTACATTTCTGTGTAATTTTATAGCCGTACGTAGATCCAGGACCACGCGAGCGCAATTCTCGCACAACGTTCACTTTTCAAACTGCATGAAAATGTGCGCCTGAAAAAATACTCGGCATCAAGGGGGTTAATTGTCTGATAACGTATTTTTTTTGGATTGTTTTAACCGCTAGGCATCTTAGAATCACATCTAAACATAGCCTAGTATTATCCAGGTGTAGGGTTATGGACGTATTTTTGTCTCATTGTTTTGATATTTTCGTGATTTATGATTATCGACTGAGCTGCGACTGTTCTTCACTTGCATGTCCTGTCAATGACTCCACAGCCGTCAAAAAAGATCTATGAGTATTGGACTAACATATATCTAGGACTTATATATTATCTATGTACAAAATGTGAAAGTTAAAAGGCAGCATCGGAAACACAATTTGGTGAGAGATTGAGCCCAGCCTACCAAGTGTTTCCGGTGCCAGTCAGTGATATAGGGATGATGTGATATCTTTATAAAGTGGACCATCCTGCGGCGGGAACTCCTGATTTGAATCAGATTTCCCTGAATGGCGGCGTTAATGCATCGGGGCTGCCGTTATGATGCCTCATCTGTCTGATATGCATGTAGTCTTCGTCTATTCTCATGAAAGTATGCGAACCAACAGACAAGACTTCCTTTTGATTTCGGCTGTCGTCGTACAGATAAGCTGTTAAAGCTTTAAGCAATATCTCGGCGGGGGTCACCAGAAACGGGCCTCACGCACTGTACCCATGTGGCGAATCGAACCCGGCTCTTCGGTGTGACGAGAGATAGCTTTAACCACTAGGCTAATACTTCATAGTCCTTCAAAGAAATGAAGAACACTTACAAACCTGATTGTGTACCGCGCTATTATACATTAACAACGTTATAATGATAATGTTATTCATTTGTATAGCGTTGATTTCCAATGTAGCACTGCTCAGAAGCGCTGAATTATTACTTCGAATAACCCAAGCTGCCTGTGAGGCACTAGAAGGTTAATACTCACATGACTTATCCTACCGGGTACCCATTTTCTGCTAAGTGAACAGAGGCAATTTGAACAAACTCGCCTGCCCCAGATGAGACCCCTCATGTGGGGCAAGACTGAGGTCCTGCCAACCCATCCAAAGACTCTCCGCGCTCAGCATTGCTTAACTTCAACTGATAATATCAACCAATACGTCATCTGAGGTCATCACAACAACACGTGTGCCACACAGTAGTCAGCCGGACCAAAACATTTGGTGAAAGGTCTTTTCAGTTTGTCGTCCCAACTTGGTGGACTCTCTTCGATCAGTAGAAACTTTCAGCACATTCAAATCCAGATTAAAACCCCATTTGTTCAGCATTGCATACGGAGCTCAGCAGCGCTCTTGAGCAGTCTTCTTAAGACTGGATATTATCGCTATTTAAATGTATATAAATTTAAAAATGTAATGTAATGATTCGTGACCTGAGCTCTATGCAGAGGACCACACCCCACAGGGGCGGATACAGCTTTTTGAGAAAAGGGGGGTGGGGGGTGGTGCACACTATTGAGAAAAGGGAGGGTGCACACTTCATTTTCACCCGAGTTTCAATGATCTTGTAATAAACTTAGGGCTTTAGCCATACATAAAGGGCTGGGTAGAATGGAAAATAATTCGGTTCAGAGATTGTGCGACAGACTAGTACGTGCTTTAATATAGAAAGAATGGGCTAGGACTATAAATCATCTCAATGTTTTGTTAAATCACGGTCACAAATCATATACTCTCACGTGCAAGGCATTTTACACACGGCGATGAAGATACTAAATTATATACTGTTAGCTAAGAACCCAAATATCGATTTCCACATATAATGCTTAACGAACATTTGTCAACATATATGCATATAGTTGATAAACACAAACACGTACTGATGTAATCTCTCAGGTGTGCTTTCCGCTTTCGTCTGAATTTGTTGCTTTAGAACATAAAGAGTC